GGGTAACAGGTGGTACTGGCTGACCAGTCCTTGGAACAAAAAAAGGTCAGGGACCACTGGTATGGATGTAACTACTCAATAACAGACTAATACATGTTTCTGCAATTGGTTATTATTTGTTCAAGCTACAAATATTGTTCAGTGCTGTGTAATTTTTTTTTAAATTATATAGGTGAAAAAACTACTTAACACTTTTTTACACAGTTTATTGCTAACTCTTACTGGGTTTGATGGAAATTTACCCAAAACGGACATATGAGCAACGTTTAATTAATAAATTCATTAATTTTTATCTATCAAGATTAGTGCAGTTAAATATAACACATAAAGTAAAATGAGCAATTTGCTCAAACAGATTTAAAAAAAGTATAACATGTAAATGTATACATCTAAGTATACATAATTAATCACACACACACACACAAACACATTTACCCGCCATACAGCATTCGTGATCCCCAGTCATCTCTCTTTTGCTTTCTGTGGAGTCTTCCTCTTCCTTTTCTCTCCCTTCTTTTACACCGTGTTCATCTATCTCTCTCTCTCTCTCTCTCTCTCTCTTTTCCTCGCACGTTTTTTCCTCACGTCTCTACTAGCCCAGTAAACCCACCCACCACACACACACAGTCTGTGAGCTACGTCTGTGTGTGTAAATGTGTGAGAGCTGAAGAGAGGGAGTGAATACAAGTGCAGTGAGTGCATGATTGTGTGTGTTTATACGTGTGTTCGCAAAGGAGAGGAGCTGTGCGTTAGGGTGGTGGAGGTGAAGAGTGGTGTGTGTGTGTGTGTGTGTGTGTCTGGTAGAAAGTGGGGGGATGGAAAAGGGTAGCAATCTCTAATAGGATGAGAATAGAGTGAAAATATAAGCCCAGGAGTCTCATGAACCTGAGATGCTGACATTACTGCCTCTGCTGGCGTGTGTACACCAATCACATCATCATCACATCCACTGCAGGATTTATGGCACAAATGGACATTTATAGACCAAAAACAAGCAAACAAATGTAAACACTGTTAAGAAAACAGCTGGATTCCAGAGAGGTAGACAATGGACAAGTCACTCTCAGGTAAAACCTGAATGTCTCTAACGATGGTGTTTGTTCACAGGCATCAAGAAAAGGAGCATTTTTGATGCAGCAGTGAATTGTGACAATGTTATCTAAATACAGCCAGAACCACACCTGGTTATGACATGAACAACAAAACAGCACAACCTGTCGAATGAAGAGCTTGAAGGTCATTTTTGTTTATGCAAAAAAAATTTTTGGACATGTACCAACTTCATGCATCCACAGGTGGCCTGACTGGTAATATGTGCGCCGCTCTAAGAAGCCAGGGAGTTACAGTTGTGTTGCATTTGTAGAGCAACAGAATCATACGGCCCTCAGGGAAATTCTGAAATAAAAGTAAATCTAATTTGGAGCTCCTGATTTGCTGTCTGTTCAGGGAGATAGAGGATAAACACTACACTTGATGTCTGAGCATCATTAATGGCCCTGAAGTGTTCTACTGCATAGAATACACACACACATCACACATTTACAGCAAATGTGGATAAAGTAGGAAGATGCTTTTGTATACACATGACCTAATACAGCTGCTCAGTGTAGTATACTGCACAATTATACTACTATGTGCTGTATCCCCATTAATAATAACAAAAAGTCACTTTGAAAAACAAAATAACATGTATTAAAGATCTGTTTAAAAAAAAAATCATAGCATCCTTTATGCCTAAAATATTCTTGTATTCAAATTTAAAATCCTGCACAACCCACCATAACATTTTTCTTTAAAAGACCGCAGAAACCAGTACTGATTAAAATGTACTTTAACAACATACAGGTTATCGTGAGAACATAATGCGTACAAAAAGCAAAAACCAAGTAGTTTGATTATCACCACCTCTGGTCAAACTCTTCAGAGCATGCCCTGTTTCATACATACGCAACACGGGGTCTCTGCACTCTTTCAGAAATGTAGGTTACGTTAAAAGACACCACACTGTATATTGATAAAACCTCATGAATATTCATGCTCTACCACCACCTCACTCTATGGAACTTCAGCAGGTATCCCAGACACGTACTCACAGCAGACTGCATTGATTTCCTGCTCCATGTATCTGTCTTATTCGCAGCTGACGTGTACAGCTGAACTCGTCACATTCAACTCCATGGATGTATTTGTAGTGTGCCCTGTCACCCACATTTGCATAGAAACAACAAGGAGAAGATGTTTAGCCTGTATACGCTCCACGTTTGCTTTGTCCACATGAGCTGCTGAGCAGCGTGAGCCTGTGCAGCGCACATATTGGATCTCTACTCGCATTAATGTCACTAAGACAAATTGTTGTGCGTTTACTGCAGAGATTGTGACTGTGGATAGATTATACAGTGCAGGAGTCTCTGCCTTCCCTCCTCTGTCTGCCCTCTAAAGAACATACAGTGTTGCAGGGCTGCTTTTCCCCCCAGACATTGGCAGTAGCCGGATGCCATTTTGGCTCGAAAAACCAAGGAAAGAACTCCTTTCACCATGACCAGTCGTTTAACTTGGGCTACAAACACAGGATTTCATGGGTAGGTTGTGTGCATGGCAGTTTGCATGTGTGCGTAAAAGGCTGTTAGTGTGTGTGTGTGTGTGTGTGTGACTGCAGTCTGCAATGCCACTGTGTGAGACAAAGCACTGGGAGTGCTCCACAGGGATGACATCATCAGTCTGGGATGATGTCTACCTCGTCTGGCGCGGGATGCTCTTGTTGGCGTCTATTTCCCAAAGGGATTCAAAGACCACACGATTTTCCGTGCACATTTTCTGCAACTTTGTACATAAATGCAAATGGAAAGGAAAATACCCGCGACTCAAAAGCCTGTTTCATACTACACAAGATTCTGATATGGTCATCACCGTTTCTAAATTAGACAGCATATAAAAAAATTAGACATCAAATTTGACATAACTATCTGGTCCCATGTATGCAGAGTTTGACGACCATCTGAGTCAGGATGGTCAATGAACCGTTTATATCACGGCACCGTGTCAAACAGTCTACAATAGGAAAGAATAGGACAGACAAGACATTCCTCTCAGGTACACTATCCGTGCCCCGCACACCTTGCAACTGTTAGATGTTTCAGACTGTCTGTTCCGGGGAGTAGGATTGTGCGGTGGATGATAAAAAATGCTCCGACTGACAGTGTCGAATCAGCACAATTCCCCTTCCAGCAGAGGAGAGATGGCTATAACGCACTGCAGATGGCTGCTGTCTCGACCACCGGTCTGACATACTGAGGGGATGGGAGGAGGGAGAGGTTGAGGGGCAATGAAAGTGGATAGATTAGAGTGTGGTGGTGGATGCAGGGGACTGCACCTAGGGGTAATATGGAAGCAGAGGTGGTTGTTTGTGTGCAAATGAAGGCAAACAAGGCTCCTCTGTCATCTGCAGCATTGACTAACACAAGCCTAAGGATGACACTAGTGGCTCCAGTGGAAAGTACTTTAGGTACACAAAAAAACAAACAAACACAAAAATATTGAAAACAAGTGGGTTTTTTTTTTTGTTTGTTTCCTTACTTTTACTTTTAGAGGGGAATGTGATGTTTAAATGTTTCGGAATGTTTCTTCCCAATTCTTTGGATGCTGCATAGCAGCACATTTTTCAGAAGAAGGGAGTGGCAGGAATTTGTTTTTCATACCATAGTTCATTTTTACCATAATGTTTTTAAAGGTCATTTTTACATATCTTAATAAATGACGATGCAAGAGAAGTACTAAGATATTTCATAACAAATTCGATAAGTTATGAAGGCTGCACATGTACATACTAATCTGTCCAATACCTAAGATAGGATCAGATTAATTTGGATAAATACTGCCTTCGTCACAAACTGGGTCGGAAAAAAAACCCAAATAGAATTTGTGTAAATTAAGCACAAAGAACAACACTAGAACACATGTGGAACTAGAAAGAATGGATGAAGAATCCTATCACACATTTAGAGGATGAGGAGAGAGAGCTTTAAAAAAAACAAACAAAAAACAGTCCTGTCTTTGACCGCTCATGGACCTTCTACTTACCTCCGTGCCGGATGTACGTGGCCAAAAGTGACTCCGCAGGGAAAGCTAGAAGGTTGTACAGTTATCTCCGTGCTGTTTATTATGCGAAACCATACAACCAACTACCTCACACTGCAGAGCACAGACTGTGGTGCTGCTCTCCAGACAAAATCTTCTCCAGCAGGACGTAGGTGTCTGTACTTCATACACCTGTCTAGCTTCAGTCTAGCAGTCAGCCCATTACTCCATCCCTCACTCCATTGCTGCTGATAGCACTTAAGCAACCAAGCTGAGCTCTTCCCTAAATCTTTTTTTTAGTTTGTAAATTGAGAGACATTTAGACCAAATATATCTAGTTTTCTACCTAATATTTTCCATGTGGCAAAAAGACTTTTGTAAAAAAAAGAATCTCATTGGTTGTGTGAAAGCCCATCTTTAAGATCAGATGGTGGAGGATTAAGACAAGTCTTTTTTTTAATCATTAAGGCTGAAATGACAATGTACTCAGATTTTTTTTAAAGACATGTTAATCTGAATTCAGGAGTGCTGAGCTGCAGAAAAAAAGATGCTTAGATGGCTTTAAATCTACAAAAATTGATAATCCCACTGTCTGCAGTGGAAAAGCTCAGGTAAAACAGGTGAACTAAATGTAAAGATGAAGAGCAGTTGGAATAATTTCCTGTTAATAGGGTCAACACCAAAGTAAAGAGTAATAATAGTAATGAGCTGCAGAAAGGACTACACACGGGATGAAAGAAATATTTTGGAAAACATATATGATTATGGGTTTGAAGGTGTGAGAGCATATCCTTGAAATATATAACATATATGATTATGGGTTTGAAGGTGTAAGAGCATATCCTTCCTGCACATCTAGGCCACTCCTGCAGGTGAAACTACTACAGTCCCTTATAAGTCCATTCACAGACTTTAAATCTATTTGTTAGCAGTTATTGCCCTCTGCTGGTCACTGAGCAAACTCCCTCCAACTTCACTGCACCTAAATTCATGTGTTTTGGTGCCACAAGCAGCATTGATTGAATCAAAACACTGTTAAGAAACAACAGTGGCTTGGATAATAAAACTATAATGATTTCTGTAGAGATTTGAAGGTACTTGCGATTTCATTCTAATGCTGTTTAAACTCATTTTTCTGTGTAAACTGCAAAATATTGTAGTCTGCTGTGTTATTTATCTATACAGCTGATATTGTTTAACTGGAGTTAAAATGCTTCTGCCATAACACTGTCATCACCATCAATTCAACTGCAAGTACATCAAGGTGACTTCTGCTCCTCTGCCAATTTCTCCAAGACAAATATATTGTGAGAAAAATTGCTATAAATCTTAAAATAATAACTGATATTTCTGTAGGAGTAATTGTGGGGTGCTGCAGTACCACGTTTGCTGGCACAGGGCTACATTCCAGCAGCTACGAGCCAAGAGTGTTATGTTACTCTGAGCACAGGCATAACTGGGGCAAGACGATATGCTGTGAAAATACCGTTTTATGAGGTTCAGGAGGACCATATCAAAACACACATAAAAAGGGAGAACCAAGAACATTGACTAAGAATTGCAAATGTTTGTAAATTATAAAGTGAAAGCCACCCACTGAGTCTGCAACACTAACTGCAGAGAGAAGCACAAAAGTGCTCTGCACTTTCTCTGCATTAAAAAAGCAGATTGGCATGTGTTATTAAGTGCTCCACCTACCAAGAAAGGAGTATTACAATACAGAAAAGAAGAGAATGCACCTCACTTAACCCAGACCTCGTGTTGAACTCCATAACTATTCTCAGTACAATAGACAGACGTAAAGAAGAAGAAACTAGATTCCACTGTGAAACACTAGAAGCATTCTGAAATGAGCTGCGGTAACAGTAAAAATGTTGCCTGGTGTGTCTGAAATCTTTTCTTTCTCTTTGCCTTTTAAGATTCAAATCTTTTCTCTCCACTGCTCCCTTTTTTCTCTGTCTCCTGTCCCGAAATGCACCCCACCCTCCCCTCCCTCTCTTCACTCCCTTAGCGCTTTCTCTGCTTCATTCCTCACAAGTCCCCTGTTTCCCGCCTCTTACCCTTTTCACCCCCTCCGTCTTCAAACCTTTCTCCTGCCCTGTCTATCCACACATGCTGACAGGCATTTTTTTAAACATCCTAAACCTCCTCTGGCTTAAACTCCTGCAATATTTTCACAGTCAAATCACGCAGAAATGCAGTGTAATTGTGCTTCTGTCAGCTATCCTTATCGCTCCACCCTTGAGCGGGCCCGTCTCAGATTCTAAGACTCTACTACAAGAAATGTCTGGAGCAATTTGTACGTGGCATGGCCTCGGTTTAGTATAAAAATCCCTCTTATGTTTGATCAACCACACAATGCAACACACACACTCACACACACACACCAGAAAGCTGGAGTGCAGCCAGTCATGTTGGAAGTTCACAGTGTTTGTGCCTGTAAGCAAAAAAATTCAGTTCATCTTTAGGCAGTTGCAGTAAGCAATCGGATGAACATGATGTACGTCTAGTAAAAATCAGTGAGAACAGTGTGAATAAGATATACATAAACCAAAGCTCTGATTGTGTTTTTTAAGTGATATACAGAACAGAATAAACCTTAAACTCTACTCTTTGCAACATCTGTTAGTAACGGCAACATCACAGTAAATGTATGTTGATGTGTTCAGATAATGTGCAGTTTCACCCAGGTGAGAGAAGCCTTCTCCATTCTACTTGTGTACTTTGGTGGAAGCCAGCCTCACATACCAAGATGGCAAAATGAATGTTGCCATGGGAACCTTCTGCCTGGCAACTCCAACAGCCTGGCAACTAGCCAAACTGTTGCTATGGCACAACTGTCAATCTCCTTACGCTGGGATTGGTGTGCGTCTCGTTTCGTGGAGCTCCTCCCTGACAAAGTTTCCAATCAGATACGTGATGGTAGCATGTATTGGCATGTTGATTAAATATTCATTTCAAAGGCTGTGGGTGCACAAGTGCGAAGCTGTGAAAATTGTGAGAGACAAAATTAGTTGTTCCATTTAGGTGTTTAGGCAGATGTTTCTATTATCAAAATGTAAGCCTAATTTTCAGCGATTCTGAAAACATGATTGAACAGAATCAATATGTTTTAAAACCTTTTGAGATAATACTTTTGTAAAAGAGGTTTACTTTTAAAACAAATATGGAGCAGGTAAAAAAGGTCATACACCAGAGCACAAAGTGTATCTAACTGTTATTAAAAAATACTAATAAATACTACAACATGGGAACAAAGCCAACAAAGCCAACAAAGCCAACAGAGGAGTAAAGACGAAACATCTGGACAAAGGGTGATGTGAACAGCAACGGAAGCTAGCAGAGTAGTATAGAAAATATTGGTACCTTGAGATTCAACCATGTCAAATATGTGTCTGCTTCTCTTCAGGCATGAAGAGGTCGTCGTCTGGGACACACATCTACAGGTGTAGTCTTGGTCACAAATGGGGTTTCTGTGGAAAATAAATAAATTCATCAGAATTGCATGCAACAATAATTGCACAATTGATACAAGTTATTAAAAGGACAGCCTGGTCTGGCTTGAACAGACATGGATAAAGTAACTGTGAATGGATATAAGCAGAAAAGCATTATGATAGAAACAATTGTATAGATGCCCATCTTCCTTCCTCTTCTCATTCCCCTCAGTTACTGACAGCAACAAGTGAATGATTCTATTCCACACTGTCACTACAAAGGCACAAACATGTTACAAAGGATTAAAGATTAAAAAAACAATGCCATAAATGCTCAAAAATGATCAAAGGACCTCAGAACTATGGAAGACAGTTTACAAATAGCATAAGTGTGGGGATGATGGGGATCACAAACACATTACTAACTAACAGTATAAATGGTAGTGCTGTGTTTTCATAATAAGAGAACCACAGAGATAAAAGCCATTGTGTTGGAGTTTTGACATTACAAACTCACCTGATTTCTTTTGCAAAAGATTATTCAAACTGAAGATGAAAAAAGACAAATGTTTTAAAATGTAAATATATGTAAGTACATTTACGTAGCAAATTAATTGAACCTTAATGCTTTGGACTGTTGCTGTTAGCTACAGGTAAAGTACAAAGACTACTTCTTAGTAGTTTCAAAGCTTTGCCTTGTGATATAGTTTGTTTGTTTATAACTTTTTTCTTTATGAAGCAGGATAATTTTTGGTAAGCCATTTGTGGTGTTTCAATCTTGATGCGAACAGCACACATGCGTTTCGCTGTAAGGACAAAGCAATGCACTAGCGTAGAGTGCTAAGCCTCCTGCTCTGGTTTGATAAATATAACTTCAAAGAAGCAGCCAAACAGCTTAGGCTGGCCGACTGCACAATGAGCATAATAACTCTTCACCCCCTGGGAGCTCCAGCCTAGTTCATTTACCCTGCAAAGCGCTGCCATGCCTGCATGTGCACATGTGTCTTTGTTTCACCGCGAGCTTGTCGAAGGCTCCCCACCTTCTGCTCTGAACAAAGCGGATGTAAAGAGGAACCTTTTGGACCTCATTTTTACAGAGGAAATGCACCCCCCCCCACACACACTTTTTCCCTCCCTGTGCCCCCTTCTATCTGCCCCTCACATGTAATGCCTGATTGACCACAGCACCCCTTAAAGGGGTCAAAGGGCAGACAAAACAGTCTGGTGTCATGGCAACCTGTGTGCCACCAACCAGAATAGTCGGGGGTAAATGGAAGGGGGGTCAAATGAGCTGTCAGCTGAACCTATAAGAATGCTAGTCTGTGTTTAGGCTAATGGGTGTGCAACTTGCAAATGAGAATGTACACACATACACAGCGCACCTGCACTATGAAAATGACTTTTCTAATTTACACTGCAGAATAATCCCAGGCAAATCCTTTAGATGCAATGATCTGTTGTTCTACTCCCTATCAAAGTATCTGATGCAGCCACGTGGGTTTCTGCAGCTGCTGCCGATACATGTGTACACTGCTGTGTAAAAGGTTCTTTGTGACCGCTCGATGCAGTGGCAGCGTGTGCAGGGTTGAGGGGGGAGTGGGAGGGATGGCAGATAAATGGGAAGCAAATGCATTCAGATCAATACCGGGCTAAAAGAGTGAGAGAGAGAGAGAGAGAGAGAGAGAAAAAGAGAGTGGAAGTGGGTGAGAAGAGAAGAGAGAATGAGGGAGGGGTCGGGCCACAGAGGGACTGATTAATCATTCCTGTATTGTTATTGACTTTCTGTTAAAGGCGGTGACTCACACTCTGAATTATGTGCCTTTTCTTGTGTTTGTGTGTGCGTTTGTGTTTGTTGGACTGTATCTGGTCGTAGCACAAAGTCATCAATTACAGATGCAGACTTCCTAAAGGGTTTGGAACTGTAGCTGGTTCAGTCGTGCTCTGACCGCCTCCTCCGAGTCTCTGAGCTCACGCTTACAACTTACAGCACAATTGATATGATTTAATTATTCATGTTATGTAAAAATAAGAACTAATACTCTACGTACTTCATTTTCAACAGGAACAGGGAAGTGAAGGAGGCGCAGAGGAAATCCCCTGTGAGGAGTTAATGAGGAGCTGACGACTGAGCAGACACAACAAAGAGGGAGGGAAAGGGGGAAGGAGGGAAGCTGATGGAGGTGGAGGAGGGGAAGTCTGCTCTGACATCTGACCCACTGGCTTTGACCTTGTTCATTGTCTGAAAGGACAGTGTGCACACCTCAATGCAGACCACAGCCGTCTGAGCATGGAATATTTAAGTAAAATTTGATTTTATCTTCACTAAAGTAAAATCCACAATAACAACTAAATTATAATATACTCTAATCTTTTTACTGTGACGCTTCCTTATACAATACAGGACCTACACAATATAGCTCACGCCCTGGTCTATAATATAAGGCACTAACAGAGCATTTGAATTTTATATACATCTGATAGTTTTTTTTGTTTTTTTTTGCTTAAACATGAATTGCACTAAAAACTTCTAAAATATTTTTAACTTGAATTATTTTTATTTTATACAAGTTCAAGTTTCATGAACTTCCGGTATAACTTGATGGCTATTTTATCAAGACACTAACCATACTGTGAGTGTTTGCAGTATTTTCTTCAATTGGGACTCTTCTAAAAACAGAAAGTTATCAGATGACTTATCAGACGACTTGTCAGAGGACAGAGGGCTGAACTAAACGAATGAAAACCCCATTCAGAGTTACCTTGAACTTGAACAATGAGTCTGGTGTTTGTGCTAGGGCCACTTCCTGACCTTTCCATCCCTCTGTGGAAGCAACCAACCACAACGTCTCCTTTTATCTTACAGACGTGACCCCAACAACCCACGCTGGCTAAGGAACAGCCCACAGTCCAGTCGTTCACTTGTAAAAGTTTACACTCATGTAAGTCATACAACAGTACAGTATATGGAGCATCACTTTACCTTGACCAGTTACTTTTAGGCTCAGTAATTTTGCTCAGACTGTTTCCAACCTCTTCCAACGTTATCATTATTTCTCCCACCTGTATTTTTCACACTGCCCATATCTCCCTCTCTGTCTGACACCAGAGGCTTGGCACATTTGATGGTGTTGCTGTGCATGACGCACCTGACAACTCAGATGCCACTGCAACCAGTGTGTATAAGCCTGGCTGCAGCATAATAGAAAGCCTTGTGAGTGCTGTCAATATGGTAAAAAAAGACATGTAGTGACCTCGCCTCAAATGCTTTTATAAGCTTTTACATTAAGGACCTGCTACTGCAATCTACAGTTATTTTTGCCTGCCTTCAGCTTCAGTTATGTAATCTGTAAGATTCCAGCATTTTCTCAAACCGTTTTCATAAATCTAACTTAAGTAAAAAATAAAATCAAGCAGCTGTGGACTTTGTGAGTGATATTTGTGAAGTGATATTTTGTAATGATCCTACGGGAGGGTCTGTGTTGGTGAATAGTGTCTTTTTTCTAGTCCACAAATAAACTAATTCAGGAGAAGATACAAACATTGCCTCATGACATCAACCAAAGCCCACTTCTCAGGAGCCCGTTTCATAAATCATACATGACTGAAGAGGACACGAGATCTACAAGCAGCGAACCAGAATTATCACTCACATTCATATTCCTTATCGCTCACTTTTACCCTGCCCCCAACTCCTGCAGCACCTAAGATCTCTCTAAGACATCCAAGAAGGGAGGAAGAGATGGTGAGGATCAAAACTTGAGTCAGAACACAGGGGGAAAAGGGACATGCATCAAGACGGAGAGAATCGTAAGAATGCAGTGGCGATAAAGACAAGATCAAACACAAAGATGAAGTGGGAGAGGGAGAGAGAAACACGGAGAGAAAGAGGGACGAAGAGGGGATTGAGATAGTTTAGCAAGGTAACAGGCAAAGCTGTGACCTACTAATGCAGAACTGAGGAATTCTCACTGCTGACTCCAAACACATTCCTCCAGCCTACAGATATTAACCCCCACCTCACCATCCAATAGAACAAAGCAGCCACCTGGCTTCTAGTGGCTAAGAGTATCCATTTATACTGTGTCATTCTGAAATAGTTTTCAAGTCTGATAAAGAACTGTGAAAAACTTCAGTCAACCCGTTTTTTGCTTTCCTCCTCCAGGGGTCAGGATAAGAAAAATATGAAGATTAAGTGTGATATAAAGGCAGGAAAAAGTAAAAAAAACAAACATAATGTTTAATTTACATGTTACTACAAAACTCCCTTTGTAAGCTAAATTTGGTTACATGTATTATCCTGAAATATATTCTTAGAGATTAAATATTTATTCATAAGACATTATATAGACTACAATGAATCATGTTATACTTTTCTGGGAAGGCAAGACCAGCATTAAAACAAAAACACTTGTACCTCGTATCAAACTTGTATGATGTTTGTATGTACCTGCTAATTTTATACAGGTTTATTTATTGCAACCTCAAATCTGGAGCAAGACAAAATTAAGAGAGACATTTGGGGGAGAAGCCCTTGAATATCCCTTTCCTAGCTCACGTGGCAAAAACTGCCTGTTAGCCAAAAATTGCCAGTAGCCAAAAATGTTAACAAGCTAAAATAGAAAATAGAAGCCAGAGCTGTTAATAACATGGTCCAAGCAAACAAAATCGGGGGGGAAAAATTAGCCAAAGAAAACTGCGCAAATACAGCTAAATGTAAGATAGGCCAACAGATATAGTAACTAAAGGTTAGGATGGAAGTTGCAAAAAATTAGCTGCTAAATGTAACAAGGAACATTTAATGTGCTTCTAAAGCTTTTTCTTCTAAAGCTTTAACAATTAAACCACTAAATAAGAAGTTGCCTAAAAATATTGAAAACTAAAATTAAATAAAAATAAACAAACTAAATTTAAAATATAACAGTAAAAATAATTAGCACAAGGATTATATGATGTTAATGAATTTATACGGTAAGTAAAAATAGAGTGTAACAAACATACATTCATAACCATCATATTCAGGTAGTGAAATAAAACCTGTCAAAATGTCACGTACAATTCAACCTCAATTCTGCAGCAGAGCCTGCATTTAATATGAGTCATTCAGAATTGAATTAGTTAAAACTTTGTCAACTGCTACACGCTTAGTTCTGGGCTTAACAAGTAGGGAAGCCCTGTGGGTTTGGGATGAAGCGCTCTTAGCCCCATTACTGCCCCATGTCCCAGAGAAGGCAGGAAAATGCAGATGCAACTGGAACACTGAGTCCACAGGGAATAAGCTCTCTCCCTCTGACCATGAGAGACCGTTAGTACATCTACAGTAGTGACATGGTAAAAAAAATGCTTTCCCTCCATGCCAAACCCTGCAGCCTGTTGTGTGTGGCCCTTTGTACCACCTCTTTCACACCAGAACATAACTGATTCCAAAGGCTCAGTTATGTTTTGTAAGGTGCGGTACATTAACGTTTCCCCCTGCATTCTAAAGTTTAGATTCTGGGATCACTAAGTGGTAGCCTTCAGTTGTAGAGGTTTTAAATAACTGATACATTCATTATCAAGATGACATAGCAGCGCAATCTATTATTTCGGCTTAAGTGTTCAGAATGACTATACAACAGCTGCAGCAGTAACCGAGCTGTGGAGATGTTCTGAATGTCTCAGATTGTGATGCGTTTAATTGATACTCAAGGTTGTATGTATGACACAAGAGCAATCTGTGCCCTTTTCATATTTAAACAAATTTAATCCTCATACAAAAATACATACCACAAATCTGACTGTGTACCTTACCAAAACTGACTACACATTTCAAGCAAAATGTACACATGCTTCAGGACATCCAAAATCCTTAGTAACCTCTGTCAAATCGAAAACAATAAAATGAGGCTGATCTAATACCTAGGGGATTTCACTTAAACAAAGGTCTTTAGGTAAAATGCACTGTGCAATGATGAAGTATAGATGTAAATGGCTTTTTTACTACTTGATGCAACTTTAAAGGTTAACAATTGTTGTACAATAATAGCCAAAAATGAATTACTAGTGCTGTTTCTTAAAACCTATGATCACTGTTAGCTTAATAAACAGTCACACTGTAATTTATTATTTAGTGTAATGAATTGCAAGTAGTTCCACAAAGAAACCAGTCAAAATGTCTCTGTTGAATTCCCAGGAGTGTCTGGCCAATGTTAACTTTTAATACCTACATGAAAGACACGTTTGAAAATAATTTTAAACATTTTAAACAGTAAAATTAATTTACAAAAAAGTAAATTTGAGTTAGTACTTTTTATTTTTTTACCTGGTTAAAAGATGACTACATTATTTAATTGTTCCTAACTTCCTCCTGATATAAAAATAAAAAATGAAGGCGTACCCATACGTAGTACAAGGCACTAACCATTTAATCACATTTGCCTTTTTAATCCTCCAGCCTTTCCTTTATTCATCTATCCATCTATTTATTTCTCTGCTGACATTTCTCAACAGCTGACATTAGGTAAAAGGCAGGTTCTACCCTGGTCCATCACAGAGCTAACATACAGTAGAGAGAACAAGTGACTATTCAGTGGTCAAATTAGAGCCTCCACTAAAACTAAATCACAAACCCCTTAGCTAGTTCTACTTTCAAACCTTGTCTTAATGTGAGGGAACATTGCTAACTATTATTCCACATTGTGCTCCAAATATTAGTTGTTTTTTTTTTTTACTTATACTTTTCTACAGAGCCATCGCAAATTTTAATCAGTCACTGAGGATTGACTTGAACCTGCATCCAGACTGTTTGTCTGTTTATGAACACTTTAGGACTACCACCATCCAGAATGAAGTCTATGCCCAACCTGGCATAGAGTTACCTTGAGATTTTTTAATATGTCCATACATGGTCAGAGTGGGGATAAATCAATCTGCTCTAACACACATACCAATGGTGGCATGAACGTGACAATAAGAAACAATGAATTCAAAGCTAAAAACTACACCGGAGCTGAGGGTGGTAAAGACACAAAGCAGAACAGGTATTTGGAGAAGAGAGGTGTTGTTGGACACTGACAGACACACAGATCAGGTTTGGTCATGTGTGCTGTACCAGGGACACATACTGAGACCACAAACAAACAGCCAGTGGAAGAAGAGAGTTGGACATTATACACAGCAGCCAAATAAGTCAAGTCACTTGTCATTTTTATATTAGTTTTAGTGCAGAGCAACCTAAGAACTAAATGGCATACAATCATCACTGTCATTAGAAAAGACAATAGCCGATGCAAAATAAAGACAAAAAAGTGAAGGTCCCAACTCAGTTTTTTTATTCCCCTCCGTCTTTCAACTGGGCCTCAAAGGAAGCCTCAGCCTTTGACTGGGGCTGAGCTGAATTTCAGCAAACATGTGTATTCTGTCAAGTAAATGCAGGGGATAAGGGATATGGCTGTATAATTGGTAAAGCATTGTGACAGTGGAAATGATCCACTGGGAGGAAGGAAAAAGTCTTAAGGTGCACAAGCCAACAGTAACCAAACCACAGCCAAAGGTCTGTTCACGAAGAAAAAATATGTGAACATCATTACTTTTCTTAAGTAAAGGACAGAATTAAGGATGAAAAAAATTCATTAAACAGGGAAAGATGATATATTTGTGTTATTACCTTTTACCGCATTCCGTCCCCTGATTCCAACTTCATTTCTGCAACACGTTTTTTCGTCCTTACTCCGAACTTGGAGCTTTTCCTCTGGACTTGCAGCGTTGCATCTCTATTTCCTTCCAAGCTTGTCGCATTTCAGTCACTGCCGCCTCTTCTCTTCCAAAGACGTGACTTCTACTTTCCACACTTCTCCAAGCTCAGGTCATTGAAACATGCCTTATGGAGAACAGAAGTATCAGTTCTGTGAGGAAAAGAAGCAACGGAAGGGCAAGAAGAAAAGTCACACGCAGTAAAGTAAGAGGCAGGAGGAGCTGGAGCTGCTGCTGCCGCTCCTGCTGCCGTTGCTCAGTTTATGGTTGTGATTAGCATGTGCTGGAGCTGCACAGAACTGGTTCCACCATACGTTAGAGCAAGAAATAGTCACAATCTGGTGGTACAGAGGGAGAGAGGAGAAAACAGAGAAGACAAGAGATAGAGGGAGATCAGTCATCGTGCGTAAATCTGTGTATGTGTGCATACATGCAGGGTAGGAATGAAGGAGAGAGGGAGGGACAGATTGAAAGAAAAGGAAGGTGGGAGGGAAAAGGAGTGTGTGGAGAGAGGGGAAAGGGGAGGAGACATTTTTCTCCATTTCGCTGTTTTCCTGCGAGCAATTTTTTAATTTGGCTCCTTTTATTGTGAAGTGATTGCTCTACTGTCTCCATGTGCACAAGTGGCTTATCAGGATTCCATTATTCTGCCCGTGCTCACCACTGTTTTCCGCACGTCATATTCCCCATTACTGAAACCAGCTGTGTCTTTAAACCGGCGCACTTGAACTGCCACAGTGCTTTTCTTTCTCAGTGTACTTCCCCTCTGCTGGCCCCCAGCACACAGGAAAGAGAGGCACAGCTTGCAGTGGCTAGAGACAGAGAAACAGAAAGATAGAGAGAAAAAGAGAGAGAGACACAGAGAGAGACACAGAGAGAGAGAGAAAAGGACAGAGGGGCAAAAAGGGGCAGAGGAAGAAATGTAGCAGGGGGAGGGGAAGGTTTTGTAAATGGATGTTTTGAGGCTAAAGAAAACCTGTACACTTGCTAAAGGAATCTATTAGAGTTATATCATAATTGTAAATGCACTGTGAGCAATGTAATAGATGACAAAATTATATAAGGCTACAAAGATTAGTTTACTAATAAGTTAGTTACTGCATTGAAAACAACTTTAGGAATCTGTGGATCAACATGGTTGTAACTATATTTTCTTACAACAACACTACAACATTTGTGCCTAGTTGTGAAAAAATGCTAGTCTTCCCTAAACCCCACAATGACGACATCCTTAAATGTTTTCTACTTGTCCACAAACCAAAAATATTCAGCTTGACTGTCAAGAGAAGAGAATCCTGCACATAATCAGATTGAAAGCAGCTGTAATGACATCAGCAATATAATAAGGTCACCGGCTTGCATCCTGGCTAAGGGTTTTCTGCAGGTTCTATACATCCTTAATGTGTGAATATGGGTTTATCCCCATATGTGATCTGTTCATAATGACAAACTGTTCTGGGTGTGACAATGTCAGCTGCAATTAGCCACACCCCCACTTTAAGGGTACAATGGGTAAATATGAAAGCATAATAATAATAATCATAATAATAAATGCTCTTGGAATGCACCATTTAAAATATAAATAAGTTCATGTGTAATAACTTCAGTGCTCACAGGAAAATGAAATCAAAATATTAGTGTATGTGTGTGCATAAGAAAGTAGCTGAAGTTGTATGTCAATATTACAATAGAAAATTAAATCACTGTGAAATGTGACCATATGCTGCAGTTTAACACTTCATGTGTTTGACATCCTGGAAGTGAAGAAACAAGGCTGAGATGAGACCATGAAACAATACCTCACACATCTGCACAAAATCACCCTGGCAACAGCCAACACCCGTGAATTGTTCAAGGTTAAATCTTTTCATGAACGATAGCTGCTTATACTCTATTTACTGCCTGCATCAGTTTTTATTTATATATATATATATATATATATAAATATATATATATATGCCACATTTAGCCAAAAGAAATTACTCCTGTTAACATAACGTACTTGCTCAATTTTGTCCAGGCAATTGTATTTTTGCCTAATTCACTACATCCGCCCGATCCTAAATTCTATATATTTAAAAGAATATTAGAGCACAAAACATTTTTTTAATGGTTATGTTTAACTATCTACCAAATGATGCAGAGCCAACTCCTTATCTTTGGAAGTACAGAGCTAAACACTGGCACCACAAACCACAGCATGGAAACTTTCGACACCAAAAATTTTGGCTTCAAAAACGGCATACGTCCAGCACTGACAGTGTTGGGTTTGGTTCTTGATGTGGACATGTGATGGACTAGTGACCTTTCCCTGGTGTAACTTGTCTTTTATCCAACATTAATTTAGATTAGCACTGCAAACTGCAGTATATCTCTTTTATAGTAACTAACTTCTTCAAATCAGGTCTACTTTCTCCACTTCTTATAATCTACCCTACTCTATAGTATACAGCAATAAACCC